AGAAGGAACTTTATAGATTTATCAGCTGAATTGTGCTGTCTACGTTCGACTACATGCAGCCAGCATCAACAACCTGATTGAGCAGGCATCAACCAGAAGGCCTAGTCTTGGACCGGAACTCATGGGTAGTGGCCTCCGAAATCATTACTACGGGTAATCAGGTATGTAGAGTTTACCCTCAGATGATATGGGGGAGGGGGATTAATGACAGCAACAATAATAATAAAATACAGTGCAAGATATTTAGTTACGGTTGAGAGTGTAACTACTTGTATACCTACAGAGCGTAAGGTTGGGTGATTACCTGTCCCCGCAAGTATTTTAACTTGAAAATACTTGAAACAGTAGCATTAAAATTGTACACTTCATGGTGTATATCCTTCATTCCCGGAAATCTCTTCAAATTTTTGGACCAAAACCAATCACGGAGCTAAGGAGTATATCCTACTAGGAGAGGTTAAGGGAGATCAACCTGACGACACTGGAGGACAGAAGGGATAAGGGGGACATGATAACAGCATATAAAATACTGAGAGAAGTTGACAAGGTGGATAGTGACAGAATGTTCAGAGATGGGACACAGCAACAAGGGGTCACAGCTGAAAGTTGAAGACTCAGATGAGTCACAGGGATGTTAGAAAATATTTCTTCAATCATAGAATTGTAAGGAAGTGGAACAATCTGGAGAGTGATGCAGTTGAGGCAGGATCCATACATAGCTTTAAGAAACGCTACAATAAAGCTCTTGGAACAGGGAGAGAGTGGAGTTAGCAACGACCAGCGAAGAGAACAAAAAGGCACAATACCGTGACTGGAACAATAAACAAATAACCCGCATATTGGAGAGAGGAGCGAAGAGCCGGGACCAGGAGCTACATATCGACCCCTGAAACCACAAATAGGTGAGTACAGGTTTCCTTCATCCACTTTATGATAGCATGCGGGTGGAGAAGATGGCGTGGAAGAGCTTCTGGCTTTACTATCTTGACTTCAACGATCTTGTCATCAGCAGCATCAACAGTAGTAACAGCAGCAACAACAACAGCAGCAACAGTAACTGTAACTCAGTGGTAATATATTTTCTATCGGCAGATAACTACTATATCAGCCATATGGTTCTCTTTCCCATGGACGTAGTCTTATCCATCCCTTTCTCAAACTCTCACTGTCTTCTCCCTCCATCCTTTACCTTTTCCTGCGTCTCTCCTCCATACCTCGAAGCTATAACACCCTCTCGCTCCTCCATATCCTTGACAGTTAGTCTCCACTTACCTTCTAACTTCATTTGACTCTCTGGGTAAAAATAACCCAAGAAGCGTGACCTGTGAAATACGATTTGTCAGGTCAAACGAGGTCTCAGCCCTGGTGCCACGTCGCCAATCTACATTCTTAAAGACTCATAAGTTACCCATCTATTCCCTCCTTTTCCGTCTCTCCTGTTTCTAAAGTCACAAATTTATTGTTTTGATTGCTAATATTTATCATGTATACTGAAAAACACTGGCAGCAGTAAGATCATTATAGGAGTGAAGGAAAGGTAGGGGGAAATGTCACTTGCATCTTTGTTACTGACAGTGTCGGAAGGTGATATGAAAGTTTTTCTCAGCCTTCCTTGTTTCTCTTTACTATCCATTTTCTATGAAATCGCTTTCGTTTTCTCCTTGTCTATACTACATTTATCAGAACTGGTGCAGTTTTCCATAATGCTTCTGGATCTAGCAAACGTCAACGGTACACAAATTACCGATACACCTGTCATTTTCGGTCCGGGCATATTTTCTTGGTTTGTCATGTAGGGGAATGCCTTTGTTTATACTATCTTAATAAGTGAAAGAAACAGAGAGAGAGAGAGAGAGAGAGAGAGAGAAATAAACACTCATATATTCACCAACAGTTGTTTATTAAAACTTAATGTGAGTAGTTTATATATATATAATATATATATATATATATATATATATATATATATATATATATATATATATATATATATATATATATATATATATATATATATATATATATAATGCACACCCAGTGAATATGTTATTAGGTACACCTGTATACCTGCTCGATAATGCAATTATCTAATCAGTCAACCACATGGCAGTACCTCAGTGCCTAAAAGCATACAAATATGGTCGAGAGGTTGAACTGTTGTTCAGACCGAACATCAGAATGGGGAAGATTATTATTATTATTATAATCAAGGGGGAAGCACTAAACCCGGAGGATTATACAACGCCTGGGGGGGATGTGGAAGGCATTCAGGCTTAATTCGGGGAACTGGAGCACAGATCCAATTCCCTAAATCAAGAGCCCCTCACCAACATCAAGGAACCTTCCTTGAGGGGAGAATGGGGAAAAAATACTAAGTGACTTAGACCGTCGAATGATCGTCGGTGGCAAACGGGGTGGTTTGAGTATCTCAAAAACTGCTGATCTTTTGTGATTTTCACGCACAATAGTTTCTTAGAGTTTAAAGAGATTGGTATGAAAGACACAAAACATCCAGTGAGCTACAGACAGGTCTGTACCTCAGAGGAGAATGACCATACTGGTTAAAACTGACAGGAAGTGGCAGTAACTCAAAGAACCGGAAGTTACAACAGTGGTATGCAGAAGAGTATGCCTGAGCGCAGAGTAGTTTAGCGTATTATTCCCTTTAAAATACACTGATTATTCTTCACTGGAGGCAGTAAAGATAGTATTCTTCTTAAATTACTTAAAAATATCTCAAAGGCTGCTGACATAGTGAAGAACGGTAGGGAACGCTGGTTTGAGAAATTGAAAATATTGAGCTGAAACCTAACGTATCACACAGAGCCCAAGAGAGATTAGGAGAAAAAGTCGTAGTTGAAGTTGAAATAAATACTAAAATACCTTTTTGATGTTGCCAAAATTCCAAGGCAAAACCCACATCCAGTATTAGGAGATGAAACTTGCACTGATTGGAACAAAAGAAAATGAGTGAAATTCTTAAGTCGGTGACTGTTCCGAGAACAGTTTTTCATAGATGAGTCTGAAAACTCTGCCGGCATGTATTTTTCTGACATAAGCATAACCCCACTCGACTTCGAAAAAGCTTTTGATATTATACTTCTGTACTCCGCCCTAGACCCTATCTCGTGGAACTCCAGAATCATCAAGACCTGCAAAAAACAATATTTCATGCCCTGAACATTCTATGGAGAAGGTGCCTGAGAACATGAATCATCCCACTTTCATGAAAAATCACTGATATAGCTCTACTCGAGAAGAGTGTTATATATATATATATATATATATATATATATATATATATATATATATATATATATATATATATATATATATATATTTAATATATATATGATATATATATATATATATATATATATATATATATATATATATATATATATGTGTGTGTGTGTGTGTGTGTGTATATATATATATATATATATATATATATATATATATATATATATATATATATATATATATATATATATATATATATATATATATATATATATATATATTACCGATAGCTCTAGCGTCGCACATTTTCAAAATCTTTGAAAGGATTTTAAGAAGCAAGATTACTAATCTCATGGATTCACCACAATATTTGCATAACCCAGGGCAACATGGGTTCAGACCACTGCAACATGGTCTCGGTTACAGTGGAAGATAAACAGAATGCGGATGTAGCATACAGACTTTGCATAAGTCTTTGATCAGTGCAACCATTGTGTAATAGTAGGTAGTCTACCCAGAGTTTACGTTTACGTTTACACTACAGCGCTGCTGATCAGGGACTAACTTGACAAACTTTCCAGTTTTTTTCTTGGAAAAAGAGCCAAGGGTCTGGTAATCCTCCTTATGTACGAAGGGATGACGTTGAAAACTCGTGGCCCCTGCACACTTACTGAGTTTTTCCTTAGTGTACTCACCACACGCCTGCTTTTTATTGGAGAATTTTGCACCGTGTGTCAAACCTCTTGCTTTCTCCGGGAATGATTTGTGTACAGACTTGGGATTAGTCCTTCTTGAATTTTTCAGGTGTAGATAATGTAACTCTCCTACGTTCAAGGAGTACATATCGGGGGACTCTGAAGGTTCCCAATAATTTAGGTGCTTGACCAAATCTGTGTGAGCAGTGCAGGTTCTCTGCACATTCTCCAGGACTGCAATTTCGCCTGTGTTGAGCGGAGCTGTTGTAGTACAATAGTACTCCAGCCTAGAGACAACAAGCGATTTACAGTATCAGCATTGGCTTGGCATCCCTTGTATTGTTCTCCACCAACTTATTACTTACAACAAACAAAAATACAAAATATATGGAACTGCATCTGTGAAAATTAGGACAAATATTTTCGAATTTCAAATATGTTATAAAAATTAGAGTTAAATACACATTTTGGAAAACTTTCGTTTTAGTGCTTAAAATGATAATGAAAGATAAAGGTACATCAAAGGTGAAGGTAATTAATATTAATAATAATAATAATAATGAAAAAACTGTTATTTTAGTGTCATCAACCGTCCAACAACCAGGGTTAATAACAATGACCAGTGGACGAACAAGGTCATTAAGGGCGTCAGCAAACAAGGTGTGTAATTACTAAGACCCGTTTGCCAGGATGGTAATTTAGCAGCGCGCGTCAACAACCAATTTAATTACAGGTGAACGTAAACAAGGCAGGTATTGCGGCCACCCTCCACCCATAACTCTCCCAAAGGCAAGTAAAGTCTCACCTTAATAAAATATACAAATATATTTGAGAAGAAACTACGTAATAGTCTGGTGTAATATTTTCAGTCTGCCCTACAACATTGAAATAGAAAAAAATGCATTAAAATTTATTTTTTAGTAAAATGGAGAAAAGTAGCGAGAACATAATAAAAAATACTTTAAATGAAATTACATGGAGGAAATGGTTCGTTTGAACTATTTAAATAAAAAATGTTAAGAGCAGAAAAGTATTAAGATGTGAAAACTCAGTAATACTGACCTTTGAGGTGTATGATGAGCCTGAGAGGTACTGCCGGTGATGCTAGCGTGACCTCTGACCCCCAAGCAACAGTGTCAGCCTCCCTGTCTGCATTTGGCAACACTGCACTATCGCCAGGGTCTCCCGTGGGACTGGTATCACACTGCAGTGGGGAAATGAGATACGTCAACAGATTATTTATCAGGTTATTTTTGTAGGGTAGCGAGAAAATGTATTTTAGGTGTGTGTGTGTGTGTGTGTGTGTGTGTGTGTGTGTGTGTGTGTGTGTGTGTGTGTGTGTACGCATCTGTACGTGACTGCAGGGGTCGAGTTTTAGCTCCTGCCCCGCCTCTCAACTTGCCGTTTACCGCCTTTGTTCCTTCCTAGCTTCGTGGGTTCTGCTTAAAATTGTGGAGTCTGTCTCTACTACTGCTTCATCGAAGTCATTTCACTTCCTGACTACTCTGAGACTGAAGAAATATTAACATCCATCTGGTTCATCTGTCATTAACTTCCCGGTATGGCTCCGAGTACCTGTTTCCCGCCTCTCAGTCATCCCTGCCAACCCTACGAAGTCCTCTGAATATTTTTTGTTATCAGATATCCCATTATTCTTCTGCCCTCTAGTTTCACTAGATTGATTTTTGTTAGCCTCTCCTCGTAACTCTTACTCCGCAGCCCTGGAAGTTGCCTTGTTGCATGCTTCTCTACTTTCTATAAGTTATTAATGTGCTTTTTCAAATGTGGGATCTGTGCTGATGCTGCATCCTCCAAGATGGGACTGACATATGTAATATAAAGGGCCCGAAATGACGAGCATTGGCTGCAGAGATTATTTCTCGTTGAGTGAGATCAGCAGCCTCTGCCCACCCCCAAGTCTACTGGTGTGTATGTGTGTACTCACCTAACTGTACTCGCCTAATTGTGGTTGTGGGGGTCGATTAACAGCTCCTGGCCCTGCCTATTGACAGGTCGCTATTAGGTCCACTCTCTGCCTGCTCCATGAGGTTTATCATACCTCTTCATAAAGCTATGCATGGATCTTGTCTCCACTACATCACTCTCTAGATTATCTCACCTCCTGACAATTCTGTAACTGAAGAAATACTTCTTAACATCCCCGTGAATCATCTGAGTTTTCAACTTCCAGTTGTGACCCCTTGTTGTTGTGTCCCATCTCTGGAACATCCTGTCTCTGTCCACCTTGTATGTGTGTGTGTGTGTGTGTGTGTTAGTTACCATCTTGTCCTAGGCACATGTCGATTAGACACTAGGCCTGTTCTATCTGTGTGCTTGTGTGTGCGTGTGTGTGTGCGCGCGCGCGCCAGTGTGTGTGTGTGTGTGTGTGTGTATGTGTGTGTGTGTGTGTGTGTGTGTGTGTACTCACCTAGTTGAGGTTGCAGGGGTCGAGTCCAAGCTCCTGGCCCCGCCTCTTCACTGGTCGCTACTAGGTCACTCTCCCGGAACCATGAGCTTTATCATACCTCTGCTTAAAGCTATGTATGGATCCTGCCTCCACTACATCGCTTCCCAAACTATTCCACTTCCTGACTGCTCTGTGGCTGAAGAAATACTTCCTAACATCCCTGTGATTCATCTGTGTCTTCAACTTCCAACTGTGTCCCCTTGTTGCTGTGTCCAATTTCTGGAACATCCTGTCTTTGTCCACCTTGTCAATTCCTCTCAGTATTTTGTAAGTCGTTATCATGTCCCCCCTATCTCTCCTGTCCTCCAGTGTCGTCAGGTTGATTTCCCTTAACCTCTCCTCGTAGGACATACCTCTTAGCTCTGGGACTAGTCTTGTTGCAAACCTTTGCACTTTCTCTAGTTTCTTTACGTGCTTGGCTAGGTGTGGGTTCCAATCTGGTGCCGCATACTCCAATATGGGCCTAACGTACACGGTGTACAGGGTCCTGAACGATTCCTTATTAAGATGTCGGAATGCTGTTCTGAGGTTTGCCAGTCGCCCATATGCTGCAGCAGTTATTTGGTTGATGTGCGCTTCAGGAGATGTGCCTGGTGTTTTATGTGTGTGTGTGTGTGTGTGTGTGTGTGTGTGTGTGTGTGTGTGTGTGTGTGTGTGTGTGTGTATGTGTGTGTGTGTGTGTGTGTTTATGTATGTATATCTGTGTGCGTGTGCTCACGCTCGCGTATTTATCTGATTGCACTCAACGAGTTGGACTTACCGAGTCGAGTATCCGCTTCTGGCCTAGCCTCTTAAACTACTACCCCTAATATTATTGGTTGTGGACTCTCGGGCCTTAAAGTCCCTACTCTTGAAACTATCTAGCATAGCATATTCTACTTAACACCCAAAGTCAGAAGAAGTATTTCCTATCATCCCCGTGGCTCATCTGTGCTTTTAACTTCCGTTTGAGCCCAATAACTCCTGTACGCTACATTTCTTGCACACTATAATCATTTCTAACCTAGTCCTTCTCTCCTGTAAGGTCGTCAGGTACAGTCTAGTCGCTTCTCATGGCTTAATTCCCTCAGCTTTGGGACTGTTTTTGTTGCATACTTGTAAATATTCTCGAGGTTACGACCATGACAGACATGGCGAAGCTGTGGTATAAAGTATTGATAAATATGAATCAAGACACAAGCGCAGTGTTGCCATAGTTTATGGACCAAGCATTTCGCCACAAATTGTTTCTTGAGTGCTGGACTAAAGAAGCCATTCGGGGCGAAACGTTTCCTCAATAAAGTATCCATTATATTACTACATGTCTTCTTTCACATTGTTGATCAGATATTGTCTTGACGCTGGTACTGAATGTTTCTTTGTTAAGGTCTCTGAAGGCAGTTCTGAGTTTAGCTAACTACATATATGATGCCTCCCCTCCACCCACAACTTCCCCTCCCCATTCCCTCCATATTCACTCCATCATCATCTAAACCCACTCCTCACCCTACCTCATACCCTCGGTATCCTCTCCACCATCATCTCCACCCTCCTTTCCACCCTTCCCTTCCACCCTCCTTTCCACCCTCCCTTCCACCCTTCCTTCCACCCTCCCCTTCCACCCTCCAGTAATTAATAACATAATACCTAGGGGAAAAAGGCTCTTTAATTATCCCTTTAAAAAATCTTAATTAAATATCTAATATCACTTTTAAAAGAAATATTTAACAATACTTAAGTATCATTAAGTAAAAAAATAGATCCTCCATCCTCCTGTAATTAGTTGAGGGAGGATGAATTTCACCTCATACTTGAGAATAAGTATGATTTTTCTTTTAATTTAATCAAGGGTAGTTACTAAACCCGTAAGAGTCACATATCAGCTGGTGAATGGAAATCATTCAGGTTTGATTGAAGGAAGAGAAGGTAAAGTCCTGTTCCTTTGATCAAGAGCCTCTCGCTGTCATCAACGTAATCTTTCTCGAGGGAACAAGTTACACAATAGTCGTCGTCAGAATAAACTGTCGTCAGGATAAACGTTGTGAGAGAAACTTTATCACAAGAATGATACTCTTGGTACACATTTTCTCTACCATACATATAGGTACTGTTTGAGAGAGGTGCTCTGTGTAGCGCCTTATCGAGTCGTACAGATGTTAGTTTACACACACACACACACACACACACACACACACACACACACACACACACACACACACACACACACACACACACACACACACACACACACACTATATTCCTGAAGGTAAGAGGACACGTGAGAAACCTCTCTTTTACTACCACCTTACCTCTATTATTATATATGTGCATGTTTTATGTAATTTTTTATGACTCGGTAAAGCATTACATAAAGTGGTGCTCTGCGTGGAGCTCCTTCAAATTATGATAAAGCTCTACACGTAGTCAAACCTTGTCCTTGTAAATACTTGTTTTGCAACGTGTGCCTTGTGTTTACACTTGTCAGCAGTGCTCCATATCTGTCAGCTTGAGAATTGGAGATAAACAGGAAAAGAAATAATGACTAGGTCTGGGACCGGTGTGGGTCTAGATCCGGAGTTGAGAGTATGTTGACATTTGAGAGCTGGATATAAAAAGGTAAGAGAAGAGACAGACAGTGACTAGGAGTGAAAATGAAGTGGAGGAGGATATTTAATGACGTGGAGACAAGTGAACATGAGGTGAAGGTAACTTGGAGATAGGCTTAGCAAGCAAGAAATGAACGAACAGGCAGCAAGGAAGTTACTGAGCACACAAAGAAGCAACAAAGAGAATAAAGAAGCTATAAGCAAGGAAGTAAATGAGCAAGCAAATAAGCAACAACAAAACAAAAATAATAAAGCAAGGAAACCATCTTCAACAAGCCTCCTCGCTTAGGCAAAGCAAGCAGGCAATGAAGCAAGCAAGCCTCTGAGAAAACAAGGTAGCAACGAAACAAAAAGGTAAGGAAGCAGGGAAGAAAATAAAAGGAAGGAAAAAAGGAGGCAAGCAGGAAAAAACATGGACTGAAAAATATGGCAAGAAAATTAGAGGTTGTTGAGTGGAATGAGAGGGAGGGTAGGTGATGAGTAAGCTGAGAGGGAGGGTAGGTGATGAGTAAGCTGAGAGGGAGGATGAGAGGAGGTAAGAAGGGAATAGCGGGGTTAAGAGAAGATACGAGAGGGGAAAAAAGGTGGCAGAGGGAGAGAGGGAAAGGTAGTGACATGGGGAGAAACAGAAAAGGTAAGGAAAGAGAAGACGATGAAAGAGAGGGAGAAGAATAGAGGTGACAGAGAGAGAGAGAGAGAGAGAGAGAGAGAGAGAGAGAGAGGAGAGAGTGAGATGGCGACAGAAAGAGAAGACTGTGAAAGAGAGGGTGAGGGAAATTGAGTTGAGAGAGAGAGAGCACATTACCTGTGCTGTTGCAAGAATAATGCAACAATCACTCCTCATAATGCTGATGGTTACAACCAGCTATTATCAGAACCTTTTAATATCAGCTCCCTGGGATCCTCGATTTACCACCTGTATTAAGAACTAGAACGAGGTGTCTCGTTACTAGTCTGGGGTACCTGAAGGACGTTGCCGGGGGGGGGGGGGAACGCCTCAGCGACCTATCCCGGACCAGGTATCCTGGGAGATCAGTGCCTGATCAACCAGGCTGTTACTGCTGGTCGCACGCTGTCCAACGTGCGAACCACAGCCCGGCTGGTCAGGCACTGATTTGAGGAACTTGTCAATTTCCTTCTTGTTATTAGCGA